GCCCCCCTAAAAAAAATGAAAGGAGGGACCAGAGGGGTTGACTGTCGACACAGGAAGGGCGAAGACCGCTTCGACCATGGGAAAGGTCAACCAGAAAGTTAAAATAAATATAAATGCTACATTGAAAAAAAAAAGAATAAAGTTTTAATAAAATTAAGGATTCGATCTTATTAAAACCTAATTGTCACTTTACATTAAGTGTAAATGTGACAAATACTTCTGCCACACACACGCCACAGCCCGTTTACAGAGTGGATCCCTTTATAACTTCATTCATTCATTCATGCTCAGGTCATAATATTGACCTGAACCAGAGAACGATCAATCATCAATTCAGAACCCGAAGAGATATTGATTTGCTATGTTAACATGGATGACACGGGGAGCCCTCGGCCTGTGGGGATCGAACTCCTGACATCTTGGACATGGGCCCAACGCCCTACCAACTACGCTGTACCTGCCTACAAGGAATTTCCCATATATTTATAATTATTAAATAAACTGTTATCCTATAAAAATTATAAGCAAAAACTATTGTCTAATTATCATTTAATGCTTGTGTACTATTCAACATCGATAAAATCTCGACGTTTATTATAATTCTAAATGTCATATCTGGAGTTCATTATCCAAATGCATTTAAGAATAACAAATGATTTTCCGATGCGATTAAAATTCATCACAAGTGAGAACTATTGTTTGGGGACATTTTTGTGTATTGTTTAACACTAACTATATTGGAATATTCATATAAATTTTAAATATATCTCTAGAGTCCATTATTCAATACATTTAAATAATTAACTATCTTCCAATGCTGCAAAACACATAAACAGTAAACACTATTTTATTTTTTTTGCTACTATTCACCTTCAAAAAAAATCTGAATATATTAAAAATTTCTAAATGTTATACCGAGAAGATAAATAAACAAAATGGTAAAAAATATTGAATGTGTTAGAATTTTATAAAAATGCGTTGTAAGTAACATATATGATTTTTAGTATTTCGTTTTTTAACGTAACGGTTATGTTTTTCAATTGTTGAGTGTAAACAAAAGGTAAGAAATAAATCTAAATTTAAAATGTTAATTTTGAACAATATCATATATGAAAATAAAAAGAATAAAAACGATAAAAATATTCCAGTTATTTTCAAATAAAAATTAAATTTTCCTTCAGTTTTACATGTATATTCAATATTGGAAAAAAAACAGTGCATTTATCGAAGTTTATAAAAATATGAGTTTGTATAACTAAAACATATTTTAATAAAAATGCAGAAATATACACGCAATATTTAATTTCTCCGAATTAAATATTGAATTAATTTGCAAAAAGGTACTATAATTGAATATTTTGCATCCGCAAATGCCATGCTTCGAAGCTAACCCATTATAAATTCTATAGAAAAGTTATAGAAGAATAATATGTTAGGTAGGAACAAATGTACATTGTTAGACTTTCCAAACTAAAATTATCGTATAATAACCGACAGCAGTCTGCTCATTCAATTAAACCTAAAGTTTACGGTAAAAAAATGTTTTTTATTCCTTTAAGATTTTGAAACCGTTTACAACTAGTATGGTTAAAAAATGCTGGTTAAAATATATGGTAAAAATTTTCAAGTAATTCAAATCGGAATTATTTTTACAAGTTGCGAAATTGGAAATAATAATTAGAATAAAAAACAACACTTTAAAATGTCTCCAAAACACCATTGAAGTTTTAAAATCGCTCTTTCAGTTTTTCTTGAGAAAATTTAACAAAAATATCAAAAACTGAAAGTGTCTCTTCCATTGTTGTAAGAGAGTGTATTTTTTCTAACACTCAAAGCTTTACCAATCTGAAATCCCATTCTAATGTTATTTGTAGTAGCGTTTTGTATACAGTTACTTTTTTATATAAATTATGTAAAATCAATGATGATTGAAGCCAAAAAAAAAGTTCTGTACCAACAGAACTTTCACAGGAAGGGCACAGGAAGGGAAAAAATACTTGGCTATATTGAATTTGATGATTTTGAACTAATCATGCAATTTACTCATGTAATCTAATCATGTAGCTTAATCAATCTTTTATTTTTTTACTTATTATTATTTTATTTGTTTTACTTATTTTTTTACTTATATTCAGCACAGAGTTAACATTTCTATATTTAATTCTACAGAACATTATTTTTTAGTTGTCTTTGATTGTTTCTTATTTTGAAAACATTCATTTTTATGTTTTTGAATTTATAACTTTTTTAAGCTAATCCTCATTTTAAATATGGGAAACTTCGCCCCTGCTCGTTCCGTTCGTCTGACCTCATCATTCAACATTGGTTATTTCTTCTTAATCGTCAATATTTTTCATAAAAAAACTCAAAATATTATGGTTTCAAAATGTACAATTATTGCAGCTTTCAATAAGAATTTTTTGTTAATGTGATAAAAGTAAGGAAGTAGATGTATTTCATCTGCACTTAAAACAAGTAATAAAAACGACGAAACATGTTATCAACAAAACATGAAAAATGTTACAACGAAACATAAACAACGAAAAATGTTATTTCAGCTACTTTTTATTAAATAATTGCAATTTTCTCTCCCATATCAAACTAAAATTAACTCATTAAATTTAATTCATGAATTAATATTTCAAAAAACTTGATTAAAACCAAGTGTTATCCAATACAAGTGTAAAAAAATGTATTTGAACTTGAATGGATGAATAAAAATTATTTTATTAACGATATATAAGCATATATAAAGAGATATATAAGAATATATAAGCATATATAAAGAGAGTGTGAACAAATAGTAAGAATTAAAAAAAGGGGGGTATCAATCAACTATAAAAGGGCCCCACGCATACCCCACTTGCTACCACTTAATGTTGTTTGTTGTCTTGGCTGACACAGTAAATATAAAATAATTAAATACTAGGAGGCTTCGCCCCCTGCTCGCTGGCGCTCGCCAACCCCCGGAACTGCTTTCGCAGTTCATTTCGGATTACTTCGCTATCCGATGCTCGCTTTGCTCGCTCATTGGATACGTTTTAACGTCTAGTTTTGTGTGCTTTTTTGAACACTGAAGTCCCGAAAACTTTTCACTGTAGAAAATTCTAAACCTGTGCATTTCAATATTAGTTTGAAATTGCAAACAATTCACATATTTTTCTTAATCACACTATTCTAAGTTTCAGTTGTTGGGAAAAGTAACTGTTGTAAGTTTTGTTTTAAAGTCTTTCCCTCCAGAGGGCTGAAACCATGTGTTGTAGAACAATATGAAATAGTACTGAAAGCCGGATGTAAAGCATCGGCTTCGATGAAGATAATTTTGTGAGAATTTTTTTGATAATTCGGTGAGAATTCACCCGATTAGACATATGATGCTCAGTACGTGCTCTTGCGCGCCGAAGCCTATAAATTAAAACGTATTAGCGTTTTATGTAATATAGATTAGTCATATGATGCTCACTACATGCTCTTGCGCGCCGAAGCAAATCAATTTAAAATGAAAACTGTTGCCAACGCGAGAAAAGAAATATCATCGGTTTTATTGATACATACGTACGTATTTGCGTTTTATATAATATAGATGTGTATCAAAACAAACTAAAAAAATATTTATAGAAAAACAATACTTTTATTATTTTTATGCTAGTGAGAACCAAAACAATATGGAAATGAATGAGGGAAAACTGGATCCTACCACATGATTTCCCGGCCAATAAAGATGTAGCGTTAAACGTTTAACGCAACCTTGTTGGAAGTCGCATAAGAAGTATAACTTCAATAAAATAATTATTTCTCAGAGATAAATTAAATACATATACGAAGTCGGATTGAACTCATGATCTTCCCGGTACGAAGCCAACTTTTTAACCACCCATGCAGCCCGTCGACTGGTTTGTCACTTTATTTTTAATCGTCTAGTCTTCATTCTAGCTTACGATATCTCTCAATGTACGGCGATGAAGTTCCGAGTTGAGGAAACGTTTTCGCCATATTTTTCATTTTATTTTCGTGACGAAAGGACCTCCAAAGTAGTTAAATACGGCTCAAAAATTGCCAAATTGTCAAAAGAGAGAGTTTTATTTTTGCTAATGCATCAAAGCAAAATTGGACGTAAAACAAAAATAAGTGAGAAAAAATTTGCTGTTGTTGTAGTAGTTCATTTACGTCATGCTAGAGCTGTGCAATGGGCTATTGGTGACGAACTGGGAAACATGCCTGAGGATGATCCGAAGACATACCATCACAATTTTGATCCTCTGCAGAGGGGATGGCACCCTCGCTTCGGAAGCCCGATGACCTGCACGCGAAATTGAGCACTTTACGGTAGCACAGTTTAACGAAGATCAATACCGCACCCCATCGCAGAGTGATTCAAGTGGTCACCCACCCGCACACTGATTGCAATCAGTGATGCCTGACATCGGTGATCTGCTGGGAACCGTGTCTTAACGGTCAGTCCACTGCGGGACAGAAAAAAATTTGCAAATAAGCATTAATTGCAATAACTTTCACCTTCATAGACAAATGTAGACCTTTCAGTAGGCCAAATTTCAACTCTGTAGTTGCATTCTTGCGGCCTACAGAGCTGTTCGTATGATACGTTTTCCATAAAATTTTTGAAGTTATAATGTTCGAACAAATTATTGAATGTTATTTTTTTATTTCATTGCATGTCCTCTACAATTTTTTACACTCTTTAGTAATTTCAACCTTCAAAGTATTATATTTTTTTTGCCGCAAAGCAAAACGTAACTTTAAATTACACCCCAAGCAGCGACAGCTTTTATGATTTTTCAATATAGGAATATAATATTGCTCACAGTAAATGCCAGAAATGTAAAGATAGAAATTTTAAAAAGAAAATCTATTTATTTGAAAAGGTGTACGTGGCTGACTCAAAGACCATACGTCAACATTTACTCGGAAAATTAAAAAGGCAACAAATAAAAAGTTAACTTGGTAGTAGAGTTCAAGGATATGTGATGCTTCGTACTTACCTCCTCTAACATGCACTTCACGACTCAGTATTGTTCCAGCAGGATTCGAAGCAAGGCATTGGTAGACTGCATCATGGACATCTTGCCTGTATTCCGATCTGGGGAAAGGAGGAAACACAAGTGTTCCATCGGATCTCGTGTGGCGCAATCCCGGAATATCTCGAGCTGAGCCACCTTCTCGAGTCAACCAATTCAGGCGGGGTGTCGGATATCCATCTGCACTACATCTCAATTCCGTGCCACTGTTGTTGGAAAATTCGACACGTGATGGTGGTTCCATACGGAATATTGGCCCTCTTGCATCTTTTCTATTTGGATCACAATCACCTGAAAATACACAAAGTAAGAACAATATAAGAATAAAATATAACCTGCCTGCTTTCACGGGAAACACAAAATCTGAAAAAAGCAGGAATAAGTTATTTAAAATGCCTGCTTTTATTTTACTCAAAATAAAATATTTCAAGTGTCTTTGTTTATGTTTAAACCGGTTATTTTATGTTTTTGTCAAAAATAATATCACTCATTCCTTTTAACACCTGTTTTTTTTCTTTTTTTTTAAAATTTATGATACGTTTTATATTGTAATAATTCTAATAAGACGTTTTCAATCTGTATTCAATTATTTAATGTACCGCTACATGGTGGTTCATTGGGTAAGGAAATGAACTGTCAGTATGAAGGACTCGTGTTCGCTCCTAGTAGCGAAATGAAGTCTACGCAGTTTCAGATAGACTGATACCAGCTTGTGTGGGAAGTAGAGGCTGCCTGTGCACTGTACTGTTTACACTACTTAATCATCCATTGGTTATGCAATTTTGTAGTCTTTATCACCATGACCCCCTTACTCATGGTGGGCAGTTGTAAGATTAATTTACCTTATTTATTTTATGTACCACGGCTTGGGTCAGGGTTCGATTTTCTGTGCCAAACGCTAGGTCCAATCGTGTGCTAGTGGTTTCTAAAACACTCTAATATATTATCCTAGACTTTGGGTGATTGGGAAGCGTGGTAAGGAAGTCGGGGGATTATTCTCACATTTTGCCACCGATCTAAATTGTACCTATATCAGCCCTCTACTTTAAAAATAAATAAGTTTTTATTTGAAAAAAAAAGGGAATTTTGGATTGTTTAGATTCTACTCTTTGCCCATACGGAAACATCCACTTGCCACAGATTTTCGTTCTGTTTGCGGCCATGGAAACAACAAAAAATACATTTCAAAGGGAAAAAAAACTTCTGATCCTGCTCTTGTTAACCCAAGTCAAAACATGCACCTAAATTTTTATACCACTTTCACACCAGTAAATAGTTTAACCACGTTGCCATAATCATCAATGTCACTCTAGACAACTACCGAGAGAGAATCTTTTACTCTAAAGTATAATAATGTTTTAAGTATAATAATGCTTAATGATAAAGTATAATAATGTTTAATGATAAAGTATAATAATGTTTAGAGTATAATAATGTATAATAATGTAAAAAAAAATAAAGAGTGCAGAAGGTAAAAAAGAATAATAAAAACAAATTGCTGAAAACGATATTTAAATAATTAAAAAGGATTTTTCCATGTAGTTACAGAATAACTATGAATAAATCGAATTATAAATATAGTTAAATAGCTGTTAGATTTAAAAGATACATTCAAATATATTTAATAAAATATTCACTGCCAGAAAGAAATCTCGAAAATATGTTGCCTGAAAGAAACTATATATTCAGGGAATTTTAAATGTAAATCCTCCAGCTTTCTTATAGTCCTCTAATTTTTTTATTTCGTCTTTTTGTTTTTATTTTCTTCTTTGCAATTTGAATGATAAGAGAGAAATTGATTCCTTGGAAATCAACTGTCTAAGTGTCCTCAAAGAAATCCTCACAGCACTTCGAAAGAGAATGGAAAAATCTTTAAAAATGTTGACAGATCAAACACAAATGTGTTACATTTCATTTATTTTCGTAAACAGATACTATCTTTTTCAATCTCAGAATATAATGAATTTATTTGTTTTCTTTTTATTTCTAACAGAAAATTTGGTTAAGAAATTGTCTTTTTCAGTGAATATTCAAAGAAGATTCATAAACTACCCAAGGAAAAATTCTGGACTAAATTACAGCAAAATGAAGGCAGTTTGAGAGCATCATCAGTAAAATCGTAACTTTTACAGTGATATTTCTTTAATTAAAGTAATTCAGGTATTTCATTGTAATTACTGCTGTGAAAACACTGCATATTAGATTTTCCACTGATAAAAATACTGCATATTAGATTCCGCATCATGTTCCGGTAAAAATGTATTTTACGGTGAAAGTAACGTCACCCTGAGTACTGGCACTTTTCACCGTAATTTGATATAGAATTTTTAACAGAGTAAACCAATCAGATATATTCCTTATTGTTTGGATTTGCTTCACTGTCCTTCGTGCTTTTATTTTGCATGTATTTCAAGTGGTACAGTAAAAGAAAGAAAAATAATAAATTTAATTATTTTTTGTGGAACTTAACTAAGCTGAAATATTTGTATATTCACAGATTTAAACATCTAAAATGTATTTTTTTTCACCTGTTTTTTATCCAATCAGTTGTTTTTAAATGATTATGGGGAGATTAGAATATATATTTGAATAAGAATATCTATCAAACAAATAAGTTCAATAGCATTTTTTTGGAAAAAAACGATAAAAATAAATTGTATTTAATGTAAAAACTAATGTGTTTTCTTATAAAATTTATGTTTTATAATAATAATGTTATTTCGGAATTCTTTTTTCTTATCCATGAATTCAGATCAAAATCCAAGAAAAAATTAAAACGTGTCTTTTCATGTCTTGAAATAAAATATTTAAAGCTACTTTGTTAACTTCTTTATTCTCTAAATGCACGAAAAGAAGAAAGATGGTTAAAAAAAAAAGAAAAGAAAACATAATTCCGGGAATGAAAACAAGTACTAAGTATTTAAATCATTTGCTTGTTAACTTTTCTGTTCATATGGTAATGATTTACCGAAAATTCCGGTATTCGAAATAACAGTTTATGTAACCAATCAGTAAGTAGTAATTCGAAACTGAGAAGTAAATTTAGCTGAATAAGTAATTCGAAAGTTCTTCAGAATTTTCATTCATTTTACCGTTTATTTGTAAAGTTTGACTTTTTGATGTTTATGCCTTTTACCAACAGGAATATTAATAGGCTGTTCATGCTTCTATAGTTTATTTGGTTACCAGAACAGCGAAACCGACTGAAAGACCAGAATCACTGCCAGAAAAACAAAGACAACGTAAGGTTCGATGCCGAGGGCTATTGTACTTCAGTCAAACACTCCTAACTCCGAACTTAGCACCTTCCGTTCGCTTGCTGCTGACCGAGGATTTAACCCTTCTATAATGATTCGGCTCATGCTAAACACACAAAACCCAAACTCCTACGTTCTTCTAAATCTTACAGAAAACTAAATTCTTACTGAGTTTATCTCCCGTTTCTAATAAAATTGCTAATATACTCTCCCGTTTCTAATAAAATTGCTAATATACTCTCCCGTTTTGGTGTTAAGGTCATTTTAGAGCAGTTAACAAAACAAAGTCTCTTAAAGATCTTAATTGCTTTGGTAATTGCTGGGGAATTTTCCACTTTTCTAGTCAGAACGAACAATATCGGACAAACTGGAAGCTCTCTAAAAATGAAACTTAATGAACACGATAAATCCGTTATCAGGAATACGAAAAGTCATCGATTGCTGCATATTTTTTGAATCTTCCGTATAAATTCATTTTCAACGATGCCAAAATTATTTCCCCCTCTCCAGTCACATCAGCTCATCTTGATGCCCTGCAATCTTTTTTTTATTCCCATGGATGCTGATTCCCTTGTTAACCCCTTAACGATTAGTTAATTTTCAAGGAAAACTGATGATAAAAGTGCCTATTTTGCCAAATACCCGCATTTAATTAGTCTGCTGACATCTAGTTTAAAATAAACTAACTATCTACAATTAACTTAAAAATTTCCTGGTACTGCCACCTGGTGTGTAAAATGAGAAATAAAATGTTTTCCGGGCAAAAGAAATGAAATCGTTTCATTCTTATTGGCGCGTTACTATTAAACACTCCAGCCCGGAAATTTGTCGGGAGTGAGAAATAGAGGGCGAAACTTCACCCCGTCATTTTCACGGGAGTGAGAAGGTTAATGACCTTTTTTCTTCACCACTCGTCCATAGCTCGTGGAAATGCATTTTCCAGTGGAAATGTATTTTTCCATGGAAATTCAATGCGCTGATTCGTTATTCTATAAGCCACTGCAGTTTTTCTAGTTTTTTTTTCTCATTTTTATTTTTTCATTTTTCATTAGCAATTTTATTTGTGTATATTTTGAATCACTTTTGTTTCTTCTCATTCCCGCCTGGCAAGTCTTAAAAGTGCACGCTTACTTTTTAAGCTCTTGAATCACTTCAACTGTTATTTCCTCTTTATATATATTTTTTAAAGTGAATGAAATTTATCGTGTTTTTTGAGCCCCCAGAGAGAAACAAAACAAAAACACTCTAAATTTTCCAGTTTTTTTGGGAACTAAAACAAAATGCAGGGAAAAGAATTTTAATTAATTAGACTGTATTTTACACAAGCTCATAGCCTTGATAATCTTACAAATGACCATTTCATTAGTGATATTCCTAGAAATAGAATGCTGCTTTAATTTAATTCTCAGATGGCATAAAAAGTTTTGCTGGAAATTAAGTTATAATTGCCGCAGTAATTACAGTTGGGAGTCATAATTACTACCTTAACAAAACAAACGCAGATACTAATTTATTTAAATACTCATTTTTGCCATATATGATCATTTTGATTAAATATATGCCGCCGGAAATGAAAAAAAGTCTAAAAAGCGAAAAACTTGAACAGCTATATTTATAATGAATTTATTTTTTTTAGTATTGAAGCAAATACAAACTCGACTAAAATAAAAAGAAAAATTGATTGCCTCGAAGACATTTCTAATTATATGAAGAAGAAAAGTAGTTTATTTGGTTTCTGTCCTTTAATTTTGTGATTTTCGGTGTTCCGAATGGGATTAATGCATTTAAAAGGAATTGCAAAGATTTTGAAAGAAGAAAAATGCCTTTCAATAATTAGACTTCTTGAGATATTTTTTGTAAGAAATTAAATTTGATTAAAAGCTTTCTTCAACTTTACAATTGATTTATAAGCTTATTTTTCTTTTCTTTTTTTTAAAAAAAAAGATAATTTTTTTATGTTTTAAAGTGTTTTGAGTTTTCAATCTTGCAACGTAAATAATAATAAAAAAGAATTTCAGGATCCTCAAAATCTGA